CTCCACACAAGTCCTAAAACTAGATAAAGAGAACCCAATTAAATAAATGAGTCAAAAACATTATACTTGTTCATTGATGTATTGAGGAAAATTATCCAAAGCTACATATTCATCCAACCAATAGTTCACTACACCCAAAGAAACATAAAGACTGAAACTATTAGTTTCTAAATGTCTTGTCCAGCCTTTTAACAATCATAGTTATTTCTGATTTTCACAATTTTTAATGAAATTCAATCAAGGTATTTGAACACATAAATATAATTATAGAAGCAAATTGTTTGTTTTTTTACAGGTCAAGGAAAGTCTGTCAGTTTTAAAAACTTAATTTTTATGCTATAAACCTTCTAAACATTTAAAAGCAAAATAAGTTCAAATAATATTTTTCACAACTGAGATGTAATACAATATTCAAACAGGATAACATCCTTTTCTAAATTTCAGGCAAAAACCCATCACATTTTCTCTGCCCCAATTTCCCCCCAACTCAAAGTTCAATATTTTGAAATCATTAAGCACTGTTAATAATCTTTGGCTCTTTTTAACATCCAACAGGCTTTCCCCCCACTAATCTTTTTGTATGGCAGCAAACCACAGGTTTCCCTTCAAAGGAGTTAATATATATCTGGGGCATGGATAATGCTGTTTTGACTACATAAAAGCAGACTAAGAACAGATCTGCAATAAATATATAATGCTAATGCTATTATGCTTACTAACAGAAACATTTTTTTTTTACTAAATAACGTCTAAATTTATAAGCATAAAAACCACAATAAGCAGCATGTATCACGTCACACAGAGAAAAATAGTCCAAAAGCCATCATTATCCCAGAGCAGGACAACCTTTCCAGCATAGAGGCAGTACTTCTAAAGTCATACAATGACGTTAGCTGATTGCCTGCTCTCCCCCACCCCACCCCCTTTGATGGGCTTGGTAGAATTTCTGCTGAAAAGCAGATGCGTTAGAGTGCCTTGCAGAGGCTTAATCAAACTGGAGGTCCTCTAGGGCAACAAACTGTGGACTGGGGTGCACATAGTCCATAGGTTATACCTATCCTAGAACCAATAATAGCTAATACTCTTACAGGTAGTGTTCACTCAGCGACCATAATTGGGACCAGCAACTCCATTCCTAAGTGCCACAGTTGCTAAGCGAAACACCATGTGACTACAACAGGCTTACATCTTCATTTCCCCTTTGGTCGTTAGGCAAATTACCACAGTCGTTAAGCAAAACATCACGTGACCATGACCTATGATATTACTTCCACCTTCTCTATTAGCTCTGCTTGTTTCAAGCCAGTTGCGCAGCACACAAATGGTGATCATGTGACTGCAGGATGCTGCAACAGTCATAAATGTGTGCTGGTTGCAAAACGTCCAAATGGTAATCAATGACTACGGGATGATGTCGGATTCATAAATGCAAGGATTGGTCGCAAAGCTTTTTTTTTGGTACTGTCATAACTTTGAGCAGTCATTAAACGAGACAGTTAAACGAGGACTACCTGTATTAATAACTTGAAGTGACAAATGCACAAATACATTGGCCATGTAGTCCAATGTATCCAGAGGATACCAAGTTGAGAAAAATGGGACTAAAGTGAATAAAAGGCAACATTTGCTGAGTACAAACAAAATGATGTCCGTGTAGAAAAAAATCCCTAAACACCAAGACTAGCTATTTTGTTTGTTTTTTAATACCAGTAGTCCACAGCATGTGACTGGTAAGTCTATTTCTAAACCTTTCAAACAATTTGTTATTTACCATTAGGATCAACAGAAACCTATGCCTAAATCATTAGCTTTTCCATAAAATGTTGAATTGGAAAATATTCTATTGTGTTATACCAGGGTGTAATATAATGCACTTGATTTAGATTTAGTGATCTTATGTTTAAAAAGTGGCTCATTTATATACATATACACATTACATCAAAAGTTTTACAAACAGCTACAAGTAGTCACACTTAATATTAAATTAGAAAACTAAATGAAGTGTTATTTAAATGTTGTATTCAAACAACTCCATAGTTTGAAATCATTTTGATTAGAACTTCAAATATATTTCTGTTTATTATCATTGTATTATTTAATATTATGTTTACTATCATTGTATTATTTAATATATCTTTATATTTCATCCTCAAGGAGTTTATAAAATATAAAATGTCAATACAAACAGTACATTAAAATCAAATTAAAACAGAGGATAAGAAAACAAAACCAGAAACAAAAAACATTTTTCCAACATTCATACAAGGGAGGCTTCTGGGTGAAGAGACAGATATTCAGCTGGAGTCTAATAAAAGATGTAATAGCAGAGGCCTCATAACTTTCAGATGAGAGAGCATTCCACAGTGCAGATGTCTCCACTACTGAATGGCTTAGGGCCTGATTATCTAAGGGGCCACACTGGTTACCTTGTAACAAACCTAATAGTCCTAATAGTTGTAAAAGTTGGCATGCCAGGCCCTCTTAACAAAGCTCCTAGTTCTGGCATATAAAATGGGCCTTTTTTCCTGCATTTCTGCCAGGTGATGGAATATACCTTCTCAGGAGATCCATTTGGCCACCACTCTCTCAATGTTTAAACAATCTCTAAAGATGCATCTCTTTTGCTTATGTTAGATATTTTTAGTATTTATTTTAATCTGCATTTCTAACTTTTTATATCAGTTTTGTTTTTAAATTTTGTTAGTTGGCTTAAGCAATCACCAGAGCAGAAAAGCAAAGTATAAACCAAATAAATACATGCATACATACCAGGCGTGTGCAGTAGGACAATCCCCAATTATTTTAGCAACCAACCAAGTCTATAACCATGAAGATAGTCCATACAAGCCTTATACATAATAAGCAAAACCGTAAACCTGGCTCAGTAGCCAACTGGCAGCCAGTGCACTTCGGGGGCATCACATACATAACCAGAGCCCCACCCAAAACCTGGCCACCATACTCTGCATGAACTGCTGTTTTCAAGCTAAATGTAAGAATAGCTGCCATACCAAACACATACATTCAACTAGGTGGTTACCAGTGCATGGAAAATAATACTTAGACTGTTCTTGTCCAAAAGTGGGTCTAGGAGTATACCAACCAAAGTTGACAAGCACAAGAGACATACCAAATAATAAGACACAACAACAAATTATTTTGTTGTTGTTTAAATTAAGATCATTTTGTTAAATTAATTTTAGCATGCTCAGTAAAGTAAGCAATGTTGCTATCTATTAATCTACTAGAAGCATCTTCCTTATTAGTTCCAAATCAAACTACTGCAAATCTAATTCAGAATTGTTCAAGCCACATTCTTCTGTTAAAAAATGTTCTACCTTCAACAAAGGTATGGACAAGTTGTTTTACTACATTTTCTTCAATAATTGTGTTTGTGACTAATAAAACTAAGAATTACTGAATACAGCAAATAATGTAATTACTCCTTTTATGAAAAAACAGATCTAGATTTTTTTCTCAGAAAAACATGGTAAGGCAATATTGTTTTTAAAAACTGATAAAAAGAGTCAATTAAGCTTGTCTCCATGAATATTAATTAATATTGCTAAACTTGGTTTCAAAAGCCAAGTTCTCTCTCCAGTGAAATAGGTATTTCACAAATATCACCAACATAGGTTTGTGCTGAACATCTGCATAGATGTTCCTTTCCTCCTATGGAGGCCTAAGTTATATTATGAAGATCTGTTGCTTTAATCCTATACAATAGAAAAACATAATTTTAAGCAATTGTAGATTTGGTATTGTGAGCCAAAAATGTGCAAGTATTCACTTACCAACACAGAATCAACCTTCTTCCCTAAACTATCTAAAATCAAAGTATAAGAAGAATAAGTCAACAGGGATACAATTATTGCTTAGTGATTTGTTTATTTTTACAATTCACTGAAATATTACAAATTTTCATATGAAAGAAAACAACTTCCCAGAATTGCAGTACAGAAAGAATGCTAGTACCATCAAAAAATCAGCCAACAATGTCCACTTGGCTTTCTTCAACTAAGAAGTGAAGCAGGTATATAAAAGATTGTAATAAAGTGTAAGATATGGCAGTGAATACTATATTATTAACGAGTATGCTCCTCAAAATTCAAATGAAAAAGTTTACTAAATTCTTTTTGGCAAGAAATCAATTGCATGCACGGAACCACGCACTGAAATGAGAACACGGGTAAAATGAAATATAAAGAACAAAAAGGAGAGCTCCTTCACTAGATCCCATTATTTCTGAATCAACATGCATAATGTTAATGTAACTGTTTCACACACTGTTTAAACCAAATACCTACATACATTTATTGCTCACTGATGAAACATTTTGAAGGTGCTAAAATGATAAAGTAGATGTGTTATGTAACAGATCCACTTACTTTTTTCTCCTTCTCATGGTGCTTATCCTGAGAGTGAGAGGAAGAATCACTTAAACTTTGATCATATGACCTATTAGATCCCCGTTTGCTCTTTTTCTAAAAAGATAAAATATATATTCATGAAACGAATATAAATAAAAAGCCATCTAAAAACTAAGTCTGACAGCCACATCACTCAACACACACATGGTCTAAACAAAACTATTCAAAGAAAAATGGAGAGCCTAAATATTGTTTATTATTTTTATAAGTAACTTTATTAAAATAATATAAAATCATAATTTTCTTTTGTGTATGTATTCATACACTACTATGCTAGCTCATCTTCTGTGTGTAAGGCTGCCATTTTGTAGCTTAAAAAATTTGTATCTGACAAGTAATTTCTATTTGTTTTCTAGTTGATGCTGACTATTAAAATAGCTGAAGAGAGTAAGAAGACCAAAGTCCATTTCAAAATCAAAGCATAAGTGGCCATGCATTGAAATCTAAGAATCAGTATGTATAAAGACTCAATTATATGAAATACCAATAGCTTCTAAAGCTTAAATATAGCATCTTGTAGACTCTTATTTTTGTTTGGGTTTTATTCTTTGTGCAGCATTTATATCCAGAGCATGTACACGCTTTTAACATCTATGGTATCAACAAATACATGCTTGTAATATGTATGGTATCAACAAATCCCAATAAAATACCATCTTATAGATTATCTGTTCATAATACTGGAGGTCACTGTGAATAATTCCATTTCTTTAATGTATTAAAAACTTTTTTTTTCCAAAGATAAGGTTTCAAGTTTTATATACATTGGATATTTTGGTGGGGAGGGGGACTTTTTAATTGAAATTACTTTTGTAAGGTTTTACAGTTTAATAATCTCCAGATGGAGATGTCCAGAGAACTAGAGATGAATAAGTTACTTACATATAACTTTAGCTCATCAAATGTGCTGTGCAGGTTTTGTATCTGCACAGAGCTTTGTTCAGAAGCTGAAGGGTGTTTGGCAGGATACATGCTCCCACATTCAGTGTCAATGCTTAAAGGACATACTTCCTTCTTTCCTTGCTTAGTTTCTAACAAGTGTTTCACTAAATATGCACAGAATAGACAATCAATTACTGGGAAACAACTACAATGGGGAGAAGAGTCAATTATGAGACTACATGGATGATCACCCAAAGAATTACAGATACACTCAAATAATTAGTTCTTCACAATCTTTGTGAAAACTCAGTCACCACAGAACAGGACAAGCCTACCAGGAGGGAAGCCATGATAGGACTGATAAAAACCAGTGGCATCCAATCTCCCCCTCACATCCAAACAACAATGCCAGGCATAAATCCATAACTGTAATCAACTAACTATTCAAAAACCCTCAGAAGTAGCTCTTCTCCCAGAAAAGCAACAGAAAATATGATGGCCCTAATGGAATGGTCCTTACTGACACTGATATAGATAATGTGGGTAATACAGCATAATGTGATTGGAAAGATTACGCATTTGCCAACTGTCAGAAAAAGACAAGGAACCCTGTTTTGGACTTTCATAGCAGACAATGAATTGTAATTTTTAGAAGGAGGTGGTCCTACCTATATAGAAAATAATGGCACTATGAGCATCCAGGGAGCAGAAAGACTATCCTAAGTATGGATGACTGGGAAGGTCAGATGTAAGTGAAAGGGGATGCTTAGACAAGGTAACATCTGCACAAAGAACCATCATAACTCTATGTAAAGTATGCTGGGTTAATTTATAAAATACAGAGTTCACTAGCACAGCAAGCAGACATGAGAACAACATGAAACGAACTTTCAAAGACAACTCCCTGGAAGCATATATTGCTAGGGTATTAACAGGCCTGGACATTAAATGATCAAAGCCACAAACTCCACAGACATACTGATTTAGCTACTATAGGACAAAACTTTAAAGTTTTGTCAGATAGCAGAACATATTGAATGAGATTTCAAGATAACTGCCAAACAAACATTAATAAAAGTAGTGTCCTCCTCTTTTCAAGCAAAGTAAGAACTGCAAGGCATCCTTGTATAGAGCAGATACTTTGTTTATTTACAGCCACGCTGGCTCCCAAATACACATCTTTATACAAAGGATAACCAGTTTCTGAGCAGCTTTCTACAATTCAGATGAGGAGAATATAAGATATGTATCCAGCAGGTCATGAAGATGAATATCCAAAAATCCAAGTTACACACCCCATCTGACAGTAGATCCACCATGTCTGATATACATGTTCTGGAAACTGACAAGATTCACAAACCACAGTTAGTTAGACTATGTGGAGTTCACAAGGATACAGTTTGTATTTCTGAGAATACCATATCTTCAAAAGGAAAGGGACTGAGAAAACAGAAGACATTTAAATCAAATGTAGATGCAGCTGTTTTTTTGATAAAGACATGATAGGACCTCTTCCTCTGAAAGGAAAGCTTACCAGTTTTTATTTTAAATAACTTACTGTGTCACAAAAGGAATGAGTATCCAACCATTACTAAATCTCAGGGATGTCACTGCTTTCATTATAAAAAAAAGTACTTTCATAGGGGTGCTCTCACCAGTGTGTTCTCTTTTTGGTAGGATGATTGATTCATCATGAATGAATTAAAGAAAGCATACTTTCAACTGCCATCTGACTGTCCCATTCCAATTTGTTCTGGTTTCTTGTTGTTTCAAATTTAAGATTCCCTTTTAGCCATGTTAGAGCATGTTTACAAAATACACAATAATGGTTATAAATGTATTTTTTCTGAAGGGACAATTATTTTTTCCCTACATAACTGTTTGGTTCCCTTTGTTTTCCCTCTTCCTGGAGGCTGCAACAACATATAATCACACTCACTCTATCAATTTAACAGATCCATCCTGAACCACAGCAGATACCAGAGTACATAAAAACATGGCTGGATTCTATCTATACCTCTGATAATTTGTCTTCTAATAAAACCAAGTTACCTGCATCCTTGCAGATGGAAAAGCTACTATAGTAAGTGGGCAGGTAAGATTCAGGCTCTTGGAAGTCATAGATTCATTACAGCAGTCAACTTGCTGCAAATGCTCCAAGACCATTTCACGTGACATTTTCTTCCAAAAGCAAATCCCGTCTTCATCTCCTTGCAACTACTGGAATATCTGACTAGTGGTTAAACTATAAACTAGTATCCACTACAATGTACAACTTCAGAGGCTAACTCCCCATCCCCTGATCCGGGCTTTCTATATGACAAACACAGATCACTTCCCAACAGCATGAGATTTCTTACTGTGGGTCAGTTTGAATGCAAACACATGCTCCAATGTTTGGCAATGTCATGGTCTCTTCAGAAGAGCTAGACCAGATGGACCAGCAGCCTGAAAAGCTGGCAAGTAATAAGATACCTATAACAGCTTGGGGAGATAATAAGCCCCAGCAGTTGGGCCTGATTCAAGTAATAGGGAATCAGATTCTGGCAGGGTGTCTAGCCCAAGAACTTCTTGTTGAGAGAAGAGGACAGCAGTAATGCCCCTAACTAAGCCATGCCAGAACTTGAGACTATGGAAGAGCAGCCTTCCACTGCTGTCACATCCTTTGAGACAGGCAAATTCAAAAAAGAACCACTTGGGTTTCTGAAAAGATCTTTGCTGCTAGTAGGGGAGTGTAACAGAATCTTGAAAGCCCTCCAAAGTAATTTTCCAGCTCAACATATCTAGCATAATTAAGGAAAAACTACACTGATTCCCTCTCTCATGTTTTTGTCTCCCCTGGACTCAGGAATCTTTTATGTTATAGTTAGGCTCCCTCTTTCATGTTCCCAGGATCTCTTATTCCATCACACATGCTTTTACTCCTCTGCTGGAAACAATTTTCCAACTATAGACCTGTGTTCCTGAATACTTTTCTTTCTGCCTCTGCCTTTCTCCTGTTAGCAGATAACTGACAACTCAAATTTCAAGACAAGTTCTATTGCCCTCTAATTACCCCCAGTTATTCTCAGGAATTTTACAACATGCCAATAAAACCTTTCAAATTTTTATTTGCCTCGCTTTCTGTTTCAAATTGGTTGGCACAGGACAGTCAATAAGGAAGATTCTTCATGCCTTCAGTCCAATACTGATTTTTTTGAATGGCATAAGAATTTGATTAATATGATGATCTGTCCTTTATACAAATAAGCAAGGAAGTATGAAGCCCCAAATTTACTGGAATTCATATTACCTTTGTGGGATTGGTAATTTTTCTACCACATATCCCAGCAAAACAACACTAGAAAATAACGGTGGGCTTAAAGCAGGAACCAAAATAGTATAATTTTCTTAACAATTATTAATTAGATCCTTGGGAAGCTGACAGGAAAGAACACATTGTACACTGCAGACAGTCAGTGCTTGCCACCCAAAAAATTCTCTATTCTAGCACTTAAAGTAAAAATATTTAATGAATGTATTAGATGTGTCATATAATAATTTCTTGGTAAAGATACTGGCTTCGTGGATAAGACAAGCTAATCAACATTAACTTGGGGTACAATTCACGGTGTTGCAAACGCATTTTATTTTGAAGTGCCAAGCTAGTTCCATGTGTTTAAATTCTTACAGGAAATGTTGTTAGCCAGCTGTGCAAGCCTTATACTCTGGATTTATAATATAAATAAGCCACACAATGAAACTTTTTTCATAGTATCTAGTTTCCTGCCATCATAATCAATAGGAGTTAAACAAGCTTCCTAAATGAGCCACTTCCACAACTGAAAGCTAAAGGAACACCTGAAAGCTAAAGGAAGAACCTATGTTTATCTCCTGAACCTGGTATGGATTTTATTAACATCTGAAGGTTAAAGGACCATATTTGTCAAGATTACATTGCAACCTACAGCAATGTGCATGTTTGAGATAGAGAGGTGTCCAGCTGGAATACTCTATCTCTGATAAAAGGGGATGGTTGTTAACCAATAGGTAAAAGGTATACCATGTAGAAAATCAGTTCTGTTTATAGAAGAACAGTCTTCATAGAATAAAGAGGAGTATGTTCCATCACTGCTAGCTGAGGGAAAATGGGGAAACTATGGCTGAATATGCAGAGCTGGACTGAACTGGTATAAGTCAATGCCAACTCTCAGATAATTCTCCATATCACAGCCCAAAAACTAATAAACTTGTAGAACTGCAACAAACAATGATCTAGTTTGATATTAAAAAGAGAACAATACGTAAACCATTTGTGAATTCAGGGGTGATAGAATTCAGAGGGTTGGTATCACAAGATGAGAAGAAACTCAGAGTGATATCAAAGTCACATTAGAAGGAAAGTATAATAGATGATATCAAGGGCATTAGTACTGGAAGAAGTCTGTAAGGAGTGTAAGGAACAAGTCAGTACTATTAATACTAATTAAATTAATAATTAAATCAAACCACTGGCACTAATAAAAAGACTAACATTTCCATCACTAAAAGGTTCATATAGAAAGGTGCACTGGGTACCACTGCCACAACCAGAATAGCAGATACAGCAGATGGAACCATATCTAATAAAGCCTATCAACTGGACAGTTCTGCAACTTGGGCACAGAGACTCTAGCTATGGCCTACTATTAATGTGATTGTTAGAGAGTATAGCTGAGGAATTACTGGTGAATAATAATGAGATGCTCATTCTCATCCACAAGCCCCCTGGGGATGATAATATTCTGGGTTCTTATTCACTGTGTTCCTTGCCATGCTATTCAGTGTTCTTGCAAAAGCAAGATGGAATCCCAAGGACAAATGCTCTCTATAAAGGACATTTGTGTCCAATTGAGTAGTTTGTATAAAATACTGATACACCAATAAAAGAAGCAACATGAAAGGTAATTTTTAACATAGTTTTTTCACAGAAAATGCTATCACACTAAAAATAAAGCACATGCAAACTTCTGTAGATTTCCTCTTTAGAGTAAGCCAAGTAATTCATACATCATTAGAAGAGCATCCTAGGATCTTTTACATTTTATTACTACAACTGAAGAAAATTATACTACATTTAAATCCATGCCACAAGTGAGACACTAGGGAAGCATTTCCTTGATGCATCATGGCCAAAACTATTTTAAGTACCAATGCTGATAATTGAGGTATCACTGTAGCTAATTACAGAGATGACTCCTCTTTCCTTTTCACATTTCTTTCTACAGTTGCGCATATCCATCAAAGTGACTCCTTGCCTTCTCCTTCATAGATATGACAGAAAGAAAGGATTGGCCTAGGGTACATGTAGAGTTTGGAGACTCAGAGGACTATTGGTATCTCAATCACAGTATCAATATCAATAATCTTACCAAAAAATCCAAAGTTCAAAGTTGGAGCTAGGTCTGGAACAACATTTGGGACTATTAAATATTGCTCCAAATCAAAGGAAACATGATATGCACCTGAGTGATAAATTAGCATTCCAAGCCCAGGAGTGAAATTCTTGGCATAAATCTGAAACAAAACTAAATTATGCTGATTGCAGAAGTATCAGTTGTGTGAAGCAATAGTTCACAAAAGAAAGAGAGCTCAAAGATTCAAGGAATAATTCTGATCAGTAAACTTTTGGAAGTAACACAGAAATCAACAGAGAAAGCAATAATTCAGAAGTAAGAGCAAGTTGTTCCCACAATTAGTGAAGTTGTAGAACAATTTTTTAAAATCATATGCTCCAAGTCATCCAATGAGATGGCCAAAGATATAACAGATAGTAGAAAAAACAAATGATAGACAGAGGTGAAGAACAGGAAATAAAATCAAATTAAATCAAAGCAATATTTGATAAATAGATTGGTAGACATGAATGCTTCTAAATGTTACTACAGTAGCCAAAAGGAAGACAACAAATTATGCTTTTTGGTTTTGTTTTGCATACTTCCCATTTTCTTTCTTTTTTAAAATT